GTCGAATGACCCTTTCACAGGGGTCACCTAAGACCATCCTGCATATCAGATATTTACATTACGATTCATAACAGTAACAACATTACAGTTATGAAGTAGCAATGAAAATAATTTTATGGTTGGGTCACAACATGAGGAACTGTATTTAAAGGGCCAGAAGGTTGAGAACCACTGCACTAATCAGAAAGGATATATGCACCCCTATGTTCACAGCAGCGCAATTTACAATAGCTAAGATTTGGAAACAGCCCAAGTGCCCATCAACAGGTGAGTGGATTAAAAAAAACTGTGGTACATCTACACAATGGAATACTATGCTGCTGTAAAAAAGAAAGAACTCTTACCATTTGCAACAGCATGGATGGACCTGAGGAGTATTATGCTAAGCAAAATAAGCCAGTTGGAGAAAGGTAAGTGTCACATGATCTCATATGTGGAATCTAATGAACAAAATAGATACAGAGACACAGAAGCATGGAACAGCCTGATGAATTTCAGAGGGAAGGGGTTGGGGGCGGGGGATGCATAGTGATTAACTGGGGAACTTATATGCATATATGCATAGTCCATGGACACAGACAATAGAGTGGTGAAGACCTGGGAAGGGTGGGTGTGGGGTGGAGCGTTAATGGGAAAAACAAACGGGCCATCTGTAATACTTTCAACAATAAAGATAAATTTAAAAAAAAATAGAAGATTCAAAAAACTGAAATCACAAATGAAGGTTGGCACACTACTGTTGACTTCACAGAAATTAAAGGGAGTATAAGAGAACACTATGAATAACTGTATGGCAATGTGAGAATTTGGATGAAATAAACAAATTCCTAAAAACACGCAAATTTTGAAAATGGACTCAAAAAGAAATAGAAACTCTTAACAAAACTATGGTAAGAAAACTGGACCAATAATCAAAAAGCCTCCAACATCCCAGCCAGGTTGTTAGTTAGTTGAAGTGTCATCCCATACACCAGAAGGTTACAGGTTTGATTCCCCATCAGGGCACCTACCAGAGGCAACTGATGAATGTTTCTCCATCCCACCTCCCCTCCCTCTCAAAATCAATAAAAACATATCATTTAGTGAGGATTTAAAAAAACAACACCACCTCCCAACAAAGAAAAGGCCAGGACTAGATGGCTTTACTAGCCAATTCTACCAAACATTTAAAGAGGCATTAACATCAATCCTATTCCAACTCTTCCAAAAGAAGAGGAAGAAGCAGAAGCAGAGGATTTTTAAAACTAGTTCTCTTAGCCCTGGCAGGTGTGTGCAGTGGCTGAGCTTCGGCCTGTGCACCAAGAGGTTGCCTGTTGGATTCCTGGTCACATACCCGGGTTGCGGGCTCGATCCCTGGTAGAGGAGGCGGCTGATGTTTCTCTCTCTCTCCCTCTCTCTAAAAATTAATAAAATTTCTTTAAAAAATATTAGTTCTCCTAATACCTTTACAAAGTGTGGAGAGCGGCTACAGTGTTTGGACAGGTTCAATTTGGGACTAATGAGAGGGCACGATCCTCTCGTGGCAAAGCCACGTGCAAGTCCTAACACAATTATAGCCAAAGGCTATAGTTGCAAGCTTGACCTTATGGTCTGAACCTGTGGTCCCACGTGGCTGAGTGATATGGGCTGTGGGAGGTGCAGCAAGTAAACAAAGCTTGATCAGGTGCATGTAATTGAGTAGATTCGAAACCTGTGAGAACATTGTAACCATGCCCTTACTTTGCCTCGTGGAATCTGGCTATAAAATAAAGACTCGGCTTGCAGGCTGGGGCACTGTCTCTCCATCAGAGAGGGCAGCATCCCACCTAGCGCACAGCTTTATTCTCTTGTCTGTCTTCTCCATCCTTCACTGCCCCCTCTCAGGTTCACCCATGGCCTTGCCGGCTCGGCACATATGGCGCCCAACGTGGGGCCAGTGAACAGGGGAACTGGGGCTGGCTCGACACAACAAAGTAGTTGCTTTCCTCAGCCTCCATGTCTTTCCCACGCAGTGGTGCTGACCACAGGCCCTGTGTGTCACAGGACTGCAGAGACTGAATGTGAAGCCGTCACACATCGCCTGGCACGAAGGCCTGGGACTCGGTGGACAGCAGTGTTGTCTTCCCCAGATGCCCAGATACAGTCATGCTCTGTTTAAAACCTTTGTCAGCTTCCCAGTCACGCGGAGTAAAGTTCACACAGCCTGCCAAGCCACCTGACCCCGGCTGACCTTACCCGCAGCCTCCCCCGCTCCCTGCCCACTATTGCCATCCTGTTCCAGCTCCAGCAAACTGGCTGCTGCCCAGCACAGTGCCTTTCCCTTGCACATGCTGGCCCTTTGCCTCAAATGCCTTCATCCCACATGAAACCGCACAGGGGCCCTCAGCCTTCTCTCATTGCACTTGTCACATTGCATTGTGATTATGTGTGCCTGTTGTGACTATTTTTTAACTATTTGTACTCCATAAGCATCTATAGATGCAAGCGGTGAATCTTTTTAAATTAAATTCAAAATACCGTGGCAGGTAACTGGTTAATTTAGTGATTTAGCACAGCCCTGGGCATTTCCACACAGGTGTCACTCACAGCCACCAGGCGATCACACACTTCTTTGCTTCACACAATTCAGTGCTGCGGAGTAGGATTCCCCACTGAACAGGCGGGAACAGGGATGGTCACTTGTCCTAGATCACAGAGCTCGACACCTTCTATTATAGCAAGCGAGCAGCCTCTTTGAAAATGTTTTTATTTTAGCAAGCGGCTTCTGTTGAATGACTGTCCTTCCTGCCTTTTCTGAATCCCTTACTCCATCCCACCTTTCCATGGTCCCCCTGCCTGAGCTCTCTCCAGCATTCCCTGTCGCCCACCTTCAATGGCTACCTCCTCAGCTGTCGCCTCTCCCATTTCATGCCATCTGTCGCCCAAGGCGGTGCCCGTGAGGCTGTGTTCTGGGTTTAGCACATTCGCTGCTATGCAGGACATAGAACCTGGAGCCTCCCGGCTGCATCCTCAGATGCGGAGATGTTAGCTGGGTGTCACAAGACCAAGGAGATAAATCTTTCACACCCCAAACGTATCTGAAACCAGAAAGCAAACAAGTCCATGGTTTAAACACCAAGCTCTCTTGGGCATGGTGCCAGGTCCTGGGAGAGGAGGGAGCCAGCCTGACCTGGGTAGGAGCGCAATTCTGCCAATTCCATATGGTGTGGAGGGTCAGAGCTGCCACCCAGCATGCGGGGGGCCTCGCCAGTGCAATGCACGCTGTGGCCCCATTTCCAGTGCTAGTTCCAGCAACATCACAGCTGCACCTAGTTCTCTGGGATAAGTTTCTCGTCACCCATGCTCAAAGTTTGGGGGCCTCTGTAGATGTCTCTCTAGCCACAAGTCTTGCCGGCTCCTGGGAGACTGGGCTGCAGCAAGGTGACCCCAGCTTGCACGTACCCTCTGTGAGTGTAGTAAACGTGAGGGCCGCCTGTAGAATGGCCCATTGTGATCTGACATGAACAAATGGAGTTTCTGGAACCCCAGCTCCCAAGCAGAGGTGGCCCTGTGGTGGTTTCCTGAGGATCACTTGCATCAGCAGCATGCCTAAGCTCACAGCCTCATGATGCACCTAAATCTGGCAAAAGAAAGAAGCCTGTGATGGCGGAAGGGGCGTGAGCATTACAGGAGGCCTGCAGGCAAAGGAGGCCTGGGAGTCAGAACGTTATGGGGAAAGTACCTGACCCCTGATAGGGGTGTGTCCCGTGGTGGCATCATGTCCCCAGGCTGTTATTGTTCAGTAACCAGCTTTCTGCCTACTTTTGGTGCCTACACAGACAGCCGGTGCACTCACCAGGTAACTTGGTTGACATTTATCATCAAACAAGCCGTCTGTCCTCCCTCAGGAGTCGGGCTCCTGGGAGCGTCGTCCATCCGGAGAGCGACACTCGGCACACTGACCACCGCGGCCTGTGGGTGCACAGCCTGGCTGTGCCGTGGAGCCAGTGGCCAGCCTGCCTTGGTGAGAGCGTGTCTACCTGATTGACATGCTGCTTTTTCTTGCTTCTACTGCCCCCCAGGTCCACTCACTGAACCTGTATCGCTTCCTCAATCGTGGCTGATTCTACACGCTGTCTTGTTCAAGGCTTCACCTGGCCCTGTGGGTAGCTCAGCTGGTTAGTGTCGTCCTGATATGGGGGTTCGATCCCCAGTCAGGGCACACATAAGATCAACCAGTGAGTACATAAATAAGTGGAACAAAAATTGATGTTTCTCTTTCCAAAATCAATCAATCAATAAAATTTAGCCCTAGCCGGTTTGGCTCAGTGGGTAGAGCGTCAGCCTGCGGACCAAAGGGCCCCGGTTTGATTCTGGTCAAGGGCACATGCCTTGGTTGCAGGCTCCTCCCCGGCCCGGGCTCTGGTCAGGAGTCAACCAATCGAAGTGTTTCTCTCACATCAATGTTTCTGTCTTTTATTCTCTATTCCACTCTCTAAAATAAATTGAAAAATATCGAGTGAGGATTAAAAAATATATATATATATTTTAAAAAAGTCGTCACCTGCATGGAGCCAGACTCCCTGGCCTGGCTCTCGTGGTCTCTGTAACTTGGCCTCCTTGCGCTTCACTCCTCATTACAGCTCAAATGCTCACTAGTCCTCAGGCCTTGGGGACCCAGCGCACTTACTGCTGCTGTCCCGCCGACGGCCCCTGGTTGTCCTCTGCCTGGAGGTCCTACTACCGCATGTCTGCAAACACCACCCCAGCCCCCCATAGCCCCCCACGCCCACCTCCTGATTCCACAGGGGGCCACTTCTCGCATGCTCCCCAGTTATCTGGGATGTGGCTCATCCCTGCCCTGCAGCACGGGCACTGCCAGTCTGCCCCGGGGTCTCCGATCCAGCCCTCACCTGGACTCCCTGGACAGCAAACCTTCCACGGGGACAGAGGTGAGCTCTGGGGCAACGCCCCCAAACCCAGCAGAGACGGATGCGAAGGACTCAAGGAAAACCTCTAGAAAGAAGACACGACACCCAGCATGGATGTGCATGAAATACTGGTTTTTATTGGTTGGCACAAGATTACAACCTACGATTCCAATGCCCTTCCCTCCCCCACAGCTCAAATGGAGAAGAAAACTGATTAACATAGAGAGGAATAGCGCGCTCACAGGTTTAAGCATTTGTACAGAAAGAAGTGGGATGTGGGGGTGGAGTTTCGGGGGCACTACCAAAGCTCTGGGCCGCGGGGAGGGGTTTGTGTGCCCTCTTGCTGGCACCACGTAAGCCGACACTTGAGGCAAGAAGGGGAATGGTTACATGTGGCTGGCCTGCTGTTACAGGGGGGCGTGGGACTCACCTCTGCTGTGCACCTCTCAGACCCAAACCTGGGGCTGGTCCCTGTTCCCCTTTCTTTCCCCTCCTCCACAGCTAACCGCACCGCACCGTAAGGAGAGGTGTGAAGGCGCCCCAGCAACCCTGCTTGAGAAAGGGAAACAGGAAAGCTCCGCTCCCTTCGTGTCTGTGGACCGCAGCCCTCTCCCCACGGCTGCTGTGGGCACAGTCTTCCTCAGGGTGCTGTGAAGACACAGGGAAGAGGCCGGGCCTGGGCAGGCGGCCTAGGTGGGCAGGGAGGAAAACCTGTTTTCATGCAACACCAAGCAAGGTTGTTTGGAAACAAAAGGAACAGAAAACGAGGCCATATACCCATGGGTGGAACGTAAGTCCTGGAGTGAGTGCATCTGGATTGGGGTGCAGACCTGACGACTCACAATGCAGCACCAGGTCCCAAGAGGTTAGAGGACCTCCTCCTGTACAAGCGCTGATCCGTGGATTCCCATTCTGCTGAGCTCATCTGGGGGTATTTCTGCCAATCTCTCCAACTTTCTCCCCTTTGTACAAACCCGGAGCACGCTGCCTAAACGGGTACACACGCCCACTTGGTAGAGCGGTCTGAGCGACCTGATGGTGGGAAGGCTGAAACGTGGGCTTCTCCGAGTGACCCCGATGCACAGGGACAGCAGCAGAGTTCTGGTGGGATCAGAACAGTCTAGGAGCCCGGTAATCCCAGGAGCTGGCCCCTGGGTACACAGGCCCTGGTTCTCAGTTCTGGAGACTTGACTGGACTTGGCCATTTGAGCCTGTTACATGGATGAGCACCACGGGGAAGCGACTAAGACTTCTGTCCTTTGGAAAAAACTAAACTCAATACATCCTGGGTACTTGGCCTCAATCCAAAGGGTTCCCTGGAAATACCTTTATGAACTCGCCGCAGGGTTTGGAAGCATGCGAACCTCGTCTGTTTTAGAGCTGGAATGGTCCAGGGCAGATGAAGGAGTGGAGGTGACCCTAGTGAGGAATCACCTTAAATACACCTTATGCTGTTTGGAGACCAAACCCTGCAGCTGAGCAAACAGGGCGAGGGCTTGCCTACTCCTCAGAGCCCGCCCCTACCACGTTCACTGGACGGGACGGAAGACAAAGTCCTTGAAATAAAGGCTGGGCGGGCAAGAGCGAGTATGAAGATGCGACTAAGCTCTCTGGGAGGAACACACTTGGGTAGGCCCTAGACACTTGCTTTACTTTTATAACAGCTCCCAACACCCTCCAATGCTCTGAACGTCCTCACACACGGGGCACACTGGTAGCTACCTTTCTTTACTTGGATGTACTGACTGACATTTTACTTATTTTAACCACCAACCTTTTGATTATAAACCAGTTTGAAAGTTTCTAGACCACAAAACAATAAATACAGACCTGACATTTACAACACCGCACCACATACTGTATTTCTTGTACAATAGAGTTAACTACTCTAATTGGCTAACTGCTAAACTCAACACTAGGCCCCTGGCCCTGGCCTCACTCATGCAGCTGTGCCCTGAGCAGCGTCCACACATGTCCACCCACGGGCGGAAGCGAAAGGGTGACGTTCTCAGGCTAAACAAGACACCGAAGCAAATTTGAATTTGGAGGGAGCCCCTCGGGTTCTGAGCGTGTGGGAAGGTGGCGGGCAGGTAGCGCTGTGGCCTAGCCCCTGCCATGTCCATGGGGATCCTTCCCGCTCTCCCGAGGAGCAGGGCTGCCTGCTTGCTGAGCAGAAGCCCTCGGAGTCCTCCTCTCACCCCAGCGCTGGAAGCCGCCACAGCCTCACTTCCCCTCTGCCCGGGAGGCTCTCTGTGGAGCAGACCCGTCTTGGCTCCCAGTGTCTCTACAATGAGCCTCGACCTTCCCCAGCGTAAGTCACGTCTGTTATGCTGCTGGAATCAAGTAACCAGAACTAGATGTCTTCTCAGGTCATGTGCTAGTGAGCCTGAAAGGCCTTTTTCAACAGGACACAAAAGAGGCTGCCTGGGCCTGCAGCCGCGTCAGGGAACGTTTCAGTTCAGCACAAAGTGCTCAGCGGGCGGGCTCGCATCAGCGTTAGTTAAGTGGGGTTTCCAGGAAAGCATGGGACACCGCTTCCTGCAGGTGAGCTGCTGCGCCCACCTGCCCGACAGCGGAGGGGAGGCGGCCTCAGGCCGGTGTCGGATCGGATGGAGGCATCTTGCCTTTTCCTAAGGAATTACAAAGACTTAAGATTCTGATCTAAATGGGACCTCAAGCCCAGAAGAGTGGTTTTACTGGACTGTCAAGATGTTCGCTCACAGGTACACCCACAGATAATGACCACAGATGGCAAGCGATTTAGTATGTAATTGTTCCAGAACCAGTATTAAAGCTCTTCAACTCAATGATTAACAAAACCTCCACTCTGGACTGGCTGCCACGAGGCTGATGAACCCGGGGAGCGACAACACTGCTTTACTGTATCTTTTAAAGGCCACCTCCAGGGTTTTAAATGCCTCCTTTGGTGTTCTGATGGCCCCTTTGGGGTTAAGAATGGAATGTAAACCGAAGGAAACCTAGAGCAATCTAGAGCAATCAAATAAACAACCGACTGCTGGAGGAACAGACGGCCATCTCATTTCCTCTCCAGCACAGGCCCTCCGGGCACGCTGGGTTCTGAGTGTACCTGCGAGCTCCCTGCCCCGCAGTCTCTCTCTCTGAGATAAGCTCAAGCTCGCTGATCGCCACTGTGATGGATCGCGAAGCCTCGGAGAGGCAGACATGCCTTTTTACTTAGAAAACTTCACACTGCAGATGCACCACACCAGTGACCACTCGCCTCAGCGCAAGGAGCCCGTCCGAACCAATCCCAATGGGATTTTTGCTTCTCCATTTATTAATTTTTAAGGGGACATGGAGGACAGATTATGTGATTAATCTGAAGGTGAGAGGTGTCATTTTCTCAGGTGTCCTGTTTAGGCCTCTCCCATCCTTGAAAGGGCATCAGCTCAGGCGAGAACGTGGTGGGAAAGCGCCGCTGCCCGTGGGGGCAGGAGTGGAGGAGTCTGCCTAGTCCCTGGGTCCCAAGGCTCAGTGATCGCAGCTGACCCGACGCGGACAGCGGCCTCTTTACAGGCTGCAGTCAGTGCTTCCGTTTACAATCTACCTGACAATCTCAATGTCCCACTGTTTCAGTGACATCTCAAGTGTCACGGAGCACAGCTCTCTGACCGCGAGGCTGGCTCTGGGCTGCTGTCCCCTCTGCTCCGAGCGAGGCGGTGCCCGATGGAGCAGGGCCTCAGCCGCCAACACGGAGTGGCGCAGCCCGAAGCCTCTGCAGCCGGGAAAGAGGTGCCACCCAGCAGGACCCACAGGAAGTGACTGGCCAGGCAGTGTGAACTCACCACCTCAGTTCCGACCTCCTCATCTTCAAGAGTAAGAACTAGAGAAGTGTTTGCACGGTTCACCGCTATTACATGATGTCCTTGCTCTGGAACTGCTGACGTAACTGTCCTGATGTCTCCACTGTTTCTGGTAAATGTGGGTTATTTTCTGAAATGCAGTCGGGACCAGGATGACGCTATCTCGTCAATGGTCGCTAACCCTCATTTCTCTTAAGGCAGAACTGCATCCCACTGGTGATTCTGCAGGCATCTCTTCTAATTCTAAACCTACTCTCAACTGCGACAGGCTTACAGAGCACTTCAGGATATTACAAATTACAGTTGTGGCAAAATCACATTGTTATGAAATCCTTTCTGTAAACTAAAAAAAAATGTGGCTCAGGCTAAGCTGTTTAAAAAAAGAGATCAGGTGGGGAGGCCGACCGCGGTGCTAGCGACTCTAGCACCAGATGGAAATGGGAGAGAGGCAAGCAAGGCCCGTGCCACGCACACACGCAAGCCCCACAGAAGACGGCCAGTCCTCCGGCAGAGGCCCAGGCCTCCACGACCACTGTCTGTGGAGAAGAGAAAGGGGAGGAGAGTGAGGGGGACGGTCCTTCCTGGAACTTTTTCTTCTAAACAAGTCTGAGAGAACGCACAGGGCTGACTCCTAACAGCAAAACAGAAAGTATTTTTTTTGCCATGAAGGAACTTGACTCTGTAGCAACATGTTTACAAAACCGCTGCAAACACTCTCAGAGGGCAGTGACCCCACTCCCCAGAGGCTGGGGAGTCAGGCCCAAGTGCCCTACGCCCACAGCACGCCCCATGGCCGGAGCCGCGGCCCAGGCACTGCACGCCATGCGAGGGGGGCAGCAACCCACCGCTTTGATCCCTCCCCATGGCTCAGCTCAGACTCAGTGACGGAGCCCTCTCTATGCAGGGCACGGGGCAGCAGACACTTGTAAAAACAAGTCAATTCATTAATGTGTCCGTCCTGTATGTCTGCTGTGAGAAAGCTCGACTCCTGTCTCATTTGCTGCCCTGCTCGGGAAGGCCACCAACAATCCAACACATGCTTCTCACACCCAGGCTTCTCTCTTTCTCTCTCTAAAAAATGAAAACATTAAAAAAAATCTCACACATCTGACTCCTGAGAGTAGCGCGCGCGCGTGTGCTCTCTCTGACACACACACACACACACACACACACACACACACACACACACACATGTCCTGGTCCATGAGGATGGCATGACCTCACTTGTGTTTCCCCAATGGCTGCAATCTACAAACTAAACACAAATGTGAATTTAAAGACCCACTACTACCCTTCTCCATCCTGAGGGTGTGGCCTCGGTTGGACGCTCAGGTGATGCCAGAATCCAGAACATGCAGACTCTCTGTGAGAGAGGTGGCCTCTGCCCTGGACACACACACCTGTTTCTATCGAGCAGAACTAATGGCAAACTGGTGTCAATAAAGAATTTTGCAAGTAGGGCACTTTTTGTGGTTTCTTGTTTCTCCCTTACTTTCTCTGGGGAGATATCACAAAAGGACTGTGAGTGCAGCCACAGCAACCACAGTGTTCGCAGTGCCGGGGGGACACACTAGTCCCTGCTCATCAGAACCCCGGTGCCACACGGACAACACCGCTGGACAAAGCCTCCTGCTGTCAGTCATGCAAACAGCGCACGCTCTCTCGTTAACTGTGTTCACAGCACCCACTCATGTCACTGAACAATATTCCTTGGCACAGCCCACCTTCCTGACCCAAAGACACCACCACCAATCTGAGCTGGGCTTCGCAGGACAGTGCTGTTCTCGCCCAGAAGACTCCTCAGACCACGGACCCGTTACTATATGCTGCGGTTCCCTTCCCAGGCACCGACTGCTCTGCAAAAGCACCTCCATCCACCTCCCAAAGGGAGGAGCATTTGGAGAACGTGCTTCTGGGATTCCACGCAGTGCTTGGCTGAACTTATTTCATGTCCCTGCAGGTATCTCAACAGAACCTCCAACGCCCCAAGCCAGGCCGCAAGCAGCAGTGTCTGTGTCTGTCTTCAAGGAGGACGTGAACAGTGAGTGGCGTTAGACAATCCATCTGCTGTCTCTATCGGCTGGGACCCTTCCTTGGGGATAGAGCTCCTTTCCCAGAGGGGACGGTACGAAGGACACTGCCGGCGGTTCTGTGTTTAAGACTCGGAGAGAAGATGCGAACTGAGGAGATAGCAAAATTTAAATTCACCAACTGACACCCCCAAATGCTGAAAACTACACGACACAGGCCAAACAGATACATTAGATTCTTCTAGTGGGAGGGAAGAGCAAAAGCTTTTCAAAGTTTGAGTATTTATTAGAATTTTTAAATAAAGAGAACTACGATTCTAATTTCACATCTTGGCTGTGTTTTGACAAAGGAGATGCCACTGAGGGTATAGCAACAAGCTCCTTTCCCAAGCCAGGGGCTGAGCAGTGCGTCCCCACCCGACTCCAGATTTCAGACCCCGACTTCCCAACTAGACAACACAACTGCAGATGAAGCAGCAGGAGACCTGTATCAAACCTAACAGGACAGTTTGCAGGGAGCCAATGCACTGTGTACCTGTCCAGCAAGTGTTACGCACTCTGCCACATCGCGGCTTTTACACCGCAGGGGAGACATTCGGTGTTTCTGAGCATGCTCATGGTGCACTTGCAAGTGCTATGACCTTACAAAGACAAGCAAAACCTGGATTGCCTTCCTGCGTACGTTTCGGGACTTAGCATGGTTACCTGGGCGGGGAAGGGCTGCACAGCTGCACTTACTGATGATGGCTGGCTGCTCAGCACATAGGCCAGACCCAGTCCGCATGCTCTATGGCATGGACGCACAGGAGAGGCTGTGGTCGGTGAGCAGCAGCATTACGGAAAAAACTCCAAACCAGCAGGACAGGAACAGGGCCCGACGCTCCAGTTTTTGGAAAGTAATCCCAAGAACCCAGTTCAAATCCCTATTGTCAACACGCAGGGAGGAATTCCATTTCTATCACTGCTTCCTGGATCTGAGCGGAGGCCATTGGCTCCTGGCTTGGTACTAAAAAGGAACGAGGTTTCTTCCCGGTTCCTCCTGGGCCCGGAACAGCTACGAGGAGAAAGGCCATGCATCCGGGCGCTGTGACGTGGCTGCGCTCCCCGGCCCCGCTCACTGCAGTCGTGACTGGGGAAGAGGAGGGGCAGGGAACTGGTCTAGTCACTAACATTGAAAGAAAACATAAATTGTGAGGCTCTGTTTCAGAACGCCCCAAATTAAAAAACAAAACAAAACCTTGAAACATTTAAACAGTTAAATTCCTCTTCTAAAAGTCACTTATTTACATATTATATGCCCAGTATATAATGTGTAGATAAATGTACCCTGTAGTGAAAGGGACCAACCACTGGGCAGAAGAGCACATTACGAGCACATTCTTGAAAAATTTCATCTCGTATTGGTATCTTTTAATTTAAAAAAATTTAAAAATCGAAGAAGAGAGCCTGGCCAGGGCCAGGATGCGACAGACGGAACCCTTCAGAATCCGAGGCAGAGTGTGGCTGTTTGCCTCTGAGAATGTAGGATGTGAACAGGGAGGGGCAGATCATGCACAAAAGGACTTACAAATTACACCCCGCGCCCAACTGAGAAGAAAAGCCCATCACATAACACCAAACAGCAACATTATCACTGAGCCCTTTCTCTGCTGCCATGCCTTATTTGAGAGAGGAGGCCTGTGAGGAGAGGGAGGAGAGCAAGGGTGAGAGGGAAGGTCTGCACTCAGTCTGGTTTCCAATTTCCACCCTCTTCCAGGTCTTCAGTCATCTGATGGCCATGACCGGGGTGCCATTGTTGGCGGAGTAGCCTTGCCTCAACGTCTCAAAATATGACGCCTGCACAGGCTTGTGGTACTGCAGCACTTTGATGGCCTCTTCTACCTTAAACCACTCCCGCTTCCTTCCTGCGGAGGCACACAGAAAAAGATCAGGACACCAGGGAAGCAACGAAAGGTTTCTAATCTTCTAACTTTTGAGAAAATGCAGAAGGAAACAAAAGTAATGTTTGTCAACATTTTCAAAGCATGTATTATAAATACATTTTCTTATAAGAGTAATGCAAACACACTTTATATGCTTAAAATACTGTACAGCCATAGCTGGTTTGGCTCAGTGGATAGAGCCTCAGCCTGCGGACTGACGGGTTCCAGGTTCGATTCCAGGCTTGGCACATACCTTGGTTGCAGGCTAGATCCCTGGCCCTGGTCGGGGCACATGCGGAAGGCAACCGATCAATGTGTCTTTCTCACACAGATGTTTCTCTCTGTCTCTCCCCCTCCCTTCCACTCTCTCTAAAAATATCAATGGAAAAATATCCTCGGCTGAGGATTAGCAACAACAAAAAAAGAACAACAAAAAGAAGATACTGTACAAATGCTCATGCAGAAGATAGGGAAGAAATCTGAAAGCTGAGGAGCTGACAGTAACCATAGGCTCCGCCCTCCAGAGAACCAAGGCCAGTGGTTTCCCCCTGTGCTCCTGGGCCATGGGGCCTCCTTGGCTTGCTGGTAAGAGCCTGAAGCCCAGCCAGCATCCTCCTCTCCTGCAAAAATCAACCTGAGCATCAAACTTCCAGAATTACCAGGATGGCTAGCTTGTAATCAGGTATTTATTTTTAAAAATTTATATGAGTAACATCTATATATATAAAAGCCTAAGCGACCGAATGACAGATCAACCAGTTGCTATGACATGCACTGACCACCAGGGGGCAGATGCTCAATGCAGGAGCTGCCCCCTGGTGGTCAATGTACTCCCACAGCCAACCTCCTGGGGCTGGCCAACCTCCCGCGGTCCCTCCCCCTGGCTGACCGGCCCCGATCGCCCTGATTGGGACTGGGCAAGACAGCCCTGATCAGCCCTGACCACCAGCCAAGCCGAGGGACCCCACCATGCACGAATTTGTGCACTGGGCCTCTAGTATCTATATAATAGAAAATACCACTTTTAGAAAAAGAAAAAATTATCTTATCACAATCACTATTAACTTTTCAGTCTATTTTCTTTTATTATTATTATTCTTTTGTTAATCCTCTCTGGAGGATATTTTTTCCATTGATTTCTTTTAAGAGAGAGAGAGGGAGGGAGGGGGGAGAGAGAGAGAGAGACATCAATGTGAGAAACACTGACTGGTTGCACTGATGCTCTAACCACTGAAAACACTGGCCAGGGCTATTTTCTTTTTTAAAATATGTGTTACATGCCATTGACTTGGCTCTGTCCATCCATACTGTCCTGTCCAGGCACACTCAGGCCTATGGCTTCTTTCATGGAGTCAATCCATCTCCTATTTGTTCTTCCTCTTAACACGTTTTAAAATCCTTTATTATTTTTTTCTCTATTAAAAGATCATTGCTTAACATCGGGAAAATGGAGAAAAGTATAATATAATTTCCCATAATCTTCTAAACCAGAAATGACCCTTCTCAATACCTTAATGCATTTGCTCTTCCTTTCCTCCTATTTAAAAAAGATACTGTATATGAACAACTGTAACTGGATCATGCGTAAGGTGCTCCAAATCTTGAAAGGCTCTGATAGAATCAATGTTGGGGTTGGGAATATGGATGCTGCCACTAATATGCTGGACTTCAATCACATCACTGCCCTCTAATGAGCTGTGAGGCTTTGGGCAAGTTACTGAACCTCTCTGTGCCCCACTTTCCTCATCTACAACGTAGAGATAATAAATAGTACCTATCTCACAAGTCTGTTGTGAGGATTAATATGTAAAGTATTTGAATAATACCTGGCACATAATACATGCTATTAAGAGTTCCTTTTTATTATTACTATCACTGTTATAGTTTTTGCTTTGTTTTTTACTTTATACTGCCTCTTAAGCATTTATCCACATTGTAAAAAAAAAATGACATTTGCCCTGGCTGGTGTGTTCAGTGGTTAGAGCACTGAACCAAACACCAGAGAGTCACGGGGTCGATTTCAGGTCAAGAACACCTGTCCGGGTTGCAGGTTCAATCCCTGGCCCTAGGTTGGGTGCATGCCGGAGGCAATCTATCAATATGTCTCTCTCACATCGATTTCTCTCTCTCTCCTTCCCTCCTTCCTTTCCATTCTCTCTAAAAATCAATGGAAAGCCCTGACCGGTTTGGCTTAGTGGATAGAGCATCGGCCTGTGGACTGAAGGGTCCCGGGTTTGATTACAGTCAAGGGCATGTACCTTGGTTGCGGGCACAACCCCGGTGGGGAGTGTGCAGGAGGCAGCTGATCGATGTATCTCTCTCATTGATGTTTCTAACTCTCTATCCCTCTCCCTTCCTCTCTGTAAAAAATCAATAAAATATATTTTTAAAAAATCAATGGAAAAAATATCCTCAGCTGAGGATTAACACCAAAGAATAAATAAAATAAAAAAAACACATTTAATGGCAGTCCATTATAACCATTTCCTTATCATTGAACATCAATATACTGTAATTTTAATTATAAATAACACTATAATTAGAAAAAATCTTTATCTCTGTTTTTCTCTTTTTAACTTCTCAGGGAAAGATCCTTAAAATTGAGATTATAAGAATAAAACATTTCACTCTAAAGGGCTCATGATACATAGTGCCAAAATGCTTACCAAGATGGCTACCCCAGCCCCCAATCCCGCTGTGGGTGGTGCGCTGGTCTCACACACCCTAGCCAGCACTGTTTCCTTTTGTTGGTCACTGCCAATTCTTTTGGTGAAAACCAGTATCTCATTTTTGTTTTCATTTCAAATTACTATATCAATGTAGCTCTAACTAGTGTATATATAATTCTATACCCTGCTTTTTTCATTCACCAACACTATTTTGTAAGCACTTTCCCATGATAATAGCTCTTGTAAGTATGTGTTTAACATTCCTTCAGATGAATGTACCTTAAATCACTTCTCATTCACTGAGTTGTACAGTTAGGACCCAATTTTTCATCTGAAAAAGGCTCATCTGAAGAAAGGCTCATAGATATAAGATCTTGGGTTAGGAACCAAGATAGTGGCACAGGTAAATGCCTGTACTAGCCACCTCCCACACCACATAAAAATTACAACTGATATACAGAACAACCATCATTCAGAACCACCTGAAATCTGGCTGAATGGAAGTCTGACAACTAGAGAAAGTAAAGAAGAAAGCACATGCCCTAGTTGGTTTGGCTCAGTGAATAGAGCATCAGCCTGCGGACTGAAGGGTCCCAGGTTCAATTCCAGTCAAGGGCACATGCCTGGGTTGCGGGCTCGATCTCCAGTAGAGGGTGTGCAGGAGGCAGCCGATCAATGATTCTCTTTCATCATTAATGATTCTATCTCTCTCCCTCTTCCTTCCTCTCTGAAATCAATAAAAATATATTAAAAAAAAAAAAAGGGAAGAAAGCACATCGAGACTGGTAGGAGGGGCGGAGGCACAAAACGGGCCGGTCCAGCACCCATGTGTGGCATTTTATTAATCTGAAGGGATATCTTCAAGGCCTCCCGTGAGAAGCAAGGGGTCCCAGCCCCACACCAGAACCCTAGCCCAGGGTTCCAGAGCTTGGAAGAGAAGTCCCAGTAACTTTGAACTGTAAAACCAGAGGGGATTGTGGCTGAGTGACATGCAAACTGCTGGAGTCCCAGGTGTTCCCCTTAAAGGGCCCTTGCACAAACTTACTAGTACACCACCCCACTTCCTCTGAGCTCCAGTGCCGGGCGGCTGCTTTTGGGGAATCCAGGGACATATGGAGAGGAACTGGACTATCTGGCACCGGGGCAGGAACTTGGGGGTGACTTTTTCCCAGACAGGGGTAAATCTTAAAAGCAACAAGAGAAAAGCAGTTAGTTACCTACAAGGGAGTGCCCATATGATTGTCAGCTGATTTCTCAACAGAAACTTTGCAGGCCAGAAGGGAGTGGCAAGAAATAGTCAAAGTGATGAATAAACAGCAAGGACCTACATCCAAGATTACTCTACCCAGAAAAGGCTATCATTTAGAATTGAAAATCAGATAAAGAGTTTCTTTTTTTAAAAAATATATTTCTTTATTGATTTCAGAGAGGAAGGAAGAGGGAGAGAGAGATAGAAACATCCGTGATGAGAGAGAATCATCGATTAGCTCACCCCCCACCGGGGATCGAGCCTGCAACCTGGGCATGTGCCCTCGGCCGGAATCGAACCTGGGACCCTTCAGTCCGCAGGCCGACACTCTATCCACTGAGCCAAACCGGCTAAGGCCAGATAAAGAGTTTCAAAGAAGAAGAAGAAGAGGAAGGAGGAGGAGGAGGAGGAGGAGGAGGAGGAAGAGGAGAGAAAATAAAGAAAGAGGAAGAAGGGAGGAGGAAGAAGGGAGGAGGAGGAAGAGAAAGATTAAAATAAACAATAAAATGGCAATAAATATATATACTAGTATATCAACAATTCAATATAAAAATCAAATGAATAAGAAATGTAATGAACAAAATAAACTGATGAATAAAATAGAATCAGAGGCATGGAAAAATGGAACAACTGATGAATCTCAGAGGGAAGGGGTGAGGGGGTGTGTGGGAAGAGATTAACCAAAAGATCTTTATATATATCGGAGAGGAAGTTAGAGGGAGAGACAGATAGAAACCAATGATGAGAGAGAATCACTGATGGGCTGCCTCCTGTACACCCCCTACTGGGGATCGAGCCTGTAACCCAGGCATGTGCCCTGATGGAATCGAACTGTGACCTCGGGTTCATAGGTTGACACTTAACCACTGAGCCACGCTGGCCAGGCTAACCAAATATCTTATAGCATATTTATATTACCTATGGACACAGATAATAGGGTGGTCAAGGCCTGGGGTATGGTAGGGACCAGGTGGAGGGTGCCAATGGGAGGAAAAAAAGGTGACATCTGTAATACTCTCAACAATAAAGATTTTTAAAAAAGTGAAGGCTCATAACCTTATTCCCCATATTTTATTTTATTAAAAAAATATATTTTTTATTTCAGAGAGGAAGGGGGAGGGATAAAGAGATAGAAACATCAATGATGAGAGAGAATCACTGACCAGCTGCCTCCTGCATGCTCCACACTGGGGATCAAGCCTGAAACCTGGGCATATGCCCTGACCAAGAATTGAACCCTGACCTCCTGGTTCATAGGGTGATGCTCAACCACTGAGCCGTACCGGCTGGGCTTATTCACCATAGTTTAGATCAGTGGTCGGCAAACTCATTAGTCAACAGAGCCAAATATCAACAGTACTTCTTCAAAATAGACTCGCCCAGGCCGAAAACTGACTTCTGCGCATGGGCCACGAAGTTTCAATCGCACTGTACGTGCATGCCCGCACGTGGTATTTTATGGAAGAGCCACACTCAAGGGGCCAAAGAGCCAAATGTGGCTTGCGAGCCGCAGTTTGCCGACCACAGGTAGATGACTTCATCAGGGTCAATTCTCAGGAGCGGGAGCACAGGTGAAAGGCTTTTTGGTATTAATAGTGCAGTGGTACCTTAAAAATTCCTATCACAGTGTGACTCCTGCCAGACAGAGGGCTCTGCGGACAGGACCACACCACACTACCTCTACCTCCCTCAGCCCCCAACCCCAGCTGTCCAGGAGTCTATTTTTAATTACCCCCCATTGAATTCCTTTACTTAAGCATATCGTACCCTTACCAGACACAAAGCCATGGAAAGCTAAAGGGCTATGACATGCCCACAGTAGCAGTGTGAGGGGCCTGGTAGCAAAGCACACACTAACAATAAAGGGAGAGGTATTGGCAAGTGTTTTGTCTGTTTGCCAACTTAAAACAGAAATTAAATCAATATTACTTTTCTAGAATATACATGTGTTCAGAGGGAAAAGATTAAACCATGAACCAACCAATAAATCACCTAAGTTTTTAGTTCAAAGACATAAACACAATAATGATCTCAGAGATCAAAGCAAACAGCTCTTTAGGAGAAAGCCAGGTGACTGAAGGGTAGTCTAATAAAAGCATAATATGCTTCTATAATAATAAAAATGTAATATGCTAATTAGAACATACGTCTTTCCGGATGAAGCCGGGGCTGCGAGGGAAGTCTGGGTCCCAGGTGCCAGAGGGAATCCGGTGCTGGCAGCTGGGGAAGGAAGGCCTACTCTTGCAGAATTTCATGCATGGGGCCTCTAGAATGGATATAATTGGAAACTACTTCCACTGCTCTCATCTACTAAATGGCTCCGGAGAGGAACTCACACCACCAGGCCAACAGTTTTCTCTGACAACTAGAGTAAGTAGCACAAGGTCCTTCCTGCTCTCCCCTGTGGGTTCTGTGGCCAGCAGTGGGCCTGGCATTGTGGAGGAGAATCCAATTTAGTTTTAAAAACATTTCCTATTTTTATGGGCCATGTTTCTATTTGCTGACCATGTACCCAACTTCAGCTTCCTTTTATACATTTCAAAATACAGCAAACCCTCTATTTTGCGGAACTTGATTTAACAGACTTCGAATTTAACGGACAGAATTTCTGGTCCGTATGTCATATGTGAAAATTAACACCGTTAATTTAAAAATGCTTTTAACCAAGATTTGCTTATAATTAAATCGACAGATTATTTTTCGTATTATTTTTAACAAATTTTAGCGAACAGGCCATATGTAGAAAAAAAACACTTAAGTAATTTTGCCAACATAAATATTACATACCTACAACTATAGCCAACTACATATTACATCCAAGAGTCACTGCTGATAAACAGTGTTTGGTGAATGATTAGCAGATGATCATAATGATCTGATCATACTGCATCTCGAGGTAACTGGTTCTGTTGTGTGGCGTGACTTTCTGTAGCAGTTTTTTGTTGTTGTTAATCCTCACCTGAGGATTTCTTTTATCCTCACCTGAAGATACTTTTCCCATTTATTTCTAGAGAGAGAGATGGAAAGGAGGGAGGAGGGGGAAAGAGAAAGAAACATCGACATGAGAGGGATACATTGATTGGCTGCCTCTTCCATGCAGCCTGACCAGAGCTGGGAAACCTGCAACTGAGGCACATGCCCTTGACCGGGTGTCAAACCCTAGACCCTTTGGTGCACAGGTCGATGCTCTAACCACTGAAACACCAGCCAGGGCCCGAGGATATTTTTCCCATCGATTTTTAGAGAGAGTGGGAGGTAGGGAGGGAAAGTGGGAGAGGGGGAGGTAGAGAGGGGAGAGTGAGGCGGGGAGAGAGGGGGAGAGAGAAAAACATCAAGGTGAAAGAAATTCATCAATTGGCTGCTTCCTGTAAGAACCCAGACTGGGACTTGGGATTGAGTCTGCAACCCAGGTACCTGCTCTTGTCCAGGAATCAAACTTGAGACCCTTTGGAACACAGGATGATGCTCTAATCGCTGAGCCACACCTTCCAGGGTTTTGCAGCAGTTTCAAGCCCTGCTGCCGGATGTTTGACTTGCACTAAGCCATGCCCCAGCCACGTGAATTTGTTTACTCAAGGTGACTAGTCAATGGACACATTTACTGGGCCTAGTCAGTATAAATGTAAAATTACTGTAATACACACAGAAAACTTTTCTGTGAAATTAAACTTTTCATACATACTTAATTTTAATTACACCAATGTGTTTACTAGTATATAAGTAAAAACAGGTTAACTTATTTGCCAATTTTTTAATATATGCCTTTGGAAAATCTACTTTATTATATAACAGACGTACAGCTTTAGCAGACACCACTTCGCCCCAATTAGTCTGTTATATTGAGGTTTTACTGTGCTTTCACAAGTTCAAAAATAGACATGCTTGTTTTATTAAATATGCCCTCCTATTGCCCAGCTGGCATGGCTCAGTGGTTGAGCGTCGACCTATGAACCAGGAGGTTATGGTTCGATTCCCAGCCAGGGCAAATACCTGGGCTGCCAGGCTTGATCCCCAGCAGGGGCATGCAGGAGGCAGCCAATCAACGATTCTCTCTCATTATTGATGTTTCTATCTTTCTCTCCCTCTCCATTCCTCTCTGAAGTCAGTCAATCTATCTATTGTGGGAAGCCGCCCATTGTCTTCACTAGCAAAGAGGTGTGGATAAGGAACCTGGAAGGCTGGTGACCCTTGAGCCCTGGCAAAGGTCAGAGCTATGCACCCACTGTTTAGTCAAGACAATGGTAGCTGAAGCAACTCCCCGCCCCCCCCCAGATAGTCATGTAAATCCTTACTGATAAGATTGTCTGTCTGTTACTGGAAATTGCCTGCCTAAGGGCTATAGGTGTATCCCAAATTGAATAAAAGGATGGCAAGGCCTGAGCCCAACTGGAGTCCTTCCTCTTGGGATGGGCTCCTGCCTGGCTCCCCAATTTCCAAATTATTATTTCTTGTCTCATCTTTGTCATTTGCACGCGGCCCCTTCTCCAGAGCCCGAACCCTGAACCACGCGGGACATGGGACATACTCTATCTATCTATCTATCTATCTATCTATTTATCTAAGGCTGAGTGTCTGTCTGTCCGACCCGTAGCTATGACGCGCACTGATTACCAGGGGGCAGATGCTCAATGCAGGGGCTGCCATGATGTGTACTGGCCATTTAAAAATAAACGGCACCATGGACCTGGCACCGACAAACCAACACTCAGCTTCCCCCAAATGGGACACAGGCCCTGCCCCCACTTCAGTTTGCCCACGGCTGCTCTAGACAGAGTAGGAATATTCCTACCTGAACCCGTTTTCAGACATGGTCAGTTATATGTTGCTTTCTCTTGAGTTTGAAGAGTGTGTGACGTTAATGTTAAAGTTGCAAATACTTTATCACGGGAAATTAGTCAAGCACTCTGAAAGTGTTTTTACTCTTAATGTGGTATACAGGGAGATATTAGAATAAGTTTAATAAATTTATCAGTCATTGTTTTTATCAATGTTTTTATATCATGTTTTTATTGTTTTTATGTCATGTCTTTGTTGTTGTTATATCATGTTATTATTTATTAATCAATTTATATATTATTTTCATATACATTTTACTAATTTTCTTTCATCTCTGACACTTCTATTATAGAGAAAGGGTGAACAGCGATATTAAAATATTTCTTCCAATTAATTTCCTTTCAATGTGCACGAATCTGTGCACCAGGCCACTAGTGTGTGTGTGTGTGTGTGTGTGTGTATTTTTTTAAAGAAGATAGATAAATAGGAGGATATATTTTTTAATTGATTTCAGAGAGGAAGGGAGAGGGAGAGAGAGAAACATCAATGATGAGAGAAAATCATTGATCGTCTGCCTCCTGCATGCCCCACACTAGGAGATCGAGCCCACCACCCAGGCATGTGCCCTGGCCAGGAATCGAACCATGACCTCCTGGTTCATAGGTTGATGCTCAACCACTCAGCCATGCCGGCCAGGCAATTATTTCTCTCCTTATCAGGCGCTTGTTTCTGGTTCTGAGTAACACCTGTGCTGCGGCAAGGGCAGCTGTGGGGAGCTCTTTGGAGGCATCTGGGATGACTTACCAATGTTAACTGAGTCCTCCCAGTCTTCCAGCACCTCCGTGACAATGAGCACATAGACATACGTTCTGTGCTTCCTCTCCTGGTTCTGAGGGCAAAGGGAGGAGGACAGAGGAAGAGTTACTCCTTACAGAGCTGAGATGACTTATGCGAAGTGCACTCTCACACTATGTCCAGAGAGGTTAGACACAGGATTCCTTTTACTTTTTATTGTCCTACAGTCAAACATGAACGAGTGCCAGATGAACTATTTGAAAGCGGCCACTTGCATTTGAAGGTAAGCTCCTTGGCTGGGTTTCTAAAGCCAAGACTTTACTCTCTTTTTTCCTTCCCTTCCCTTAAGTGCAACTTCATGTAAATGCTGTGAACAGGAAGGTCATGACCTCTCAAGAAAAAGGCACCAAGTAAATTTAGGTAGCTGGGCACCAGAAAGAAAAGAGACTGTGGATGGGCAGGGCCTCATCAGTGCAAGCCAGTGATCATCTCTTTTCCTACTAACCTCTTTATTCCCTGACTTCTCACTTCCCTTCACCTCCTCCAAATCTCTACCCCAGTAGATTTCCTTGTTTCTCTCTCTTTTGCTATAGCTGCTTAATCTTCCATTTTCCCTCTGTCTTCTCTACACTTATCTACCCCCTCATATCTTAGGAGGAAAGGTAGAGAGATAGAGATGGGGATAAACAATACTTACAAATAATATTCTAGCTCTTGGAGGAGACAAAGACTACAATGGACTGAATATTTATGCCCCCACCCCTCGATTTATATGGTGAAATCACATTCCCCAATGTGATGGTTTCGAGGTGGGGCCTTTGCGGCTGACCCTCAGGAATGGAATTAGTGCCCTTATAACAGAGACCTAGAGAGCAACCTTTCGTTTTCCACCACATGAGGACAGAAACAGCCATCAATGAAGCAGGAAGCAGGTGCTCAACCAGACACTGAATCTGCTAGTGCCTTGATCTTCCACTTACAGCCTCCAGAATTATGAAAAATCAATTTCTATTATTAATAAGCCACTTAGTTTATGATATTTTGTTCAGCATCTTGAATGGACTAAGACAAAGATATATTTGGTTATTAATACGATACCAAATGTACCAAAGATTTTAACAGACTTACCTCAAAAATTCCAACTAATCTTCCCAATGTCCCTTTTACTCCAGCCTGAAAAGTGGGAAAAAAATTAACATTGATGTTGTTTATATTGCTGTCTCATTCTGATTCTTCTGAGCAGTTTTGTAAAATAGAAATGAAAAACAAAAGGACACATTTTGGTGGGAGTCACACCAGTGTTTCATGTGTCACTGACAAGAGCATGTCGTCTCCTCCCAGGCTCTCCCCACACTGCAAAGCTGGCCAAACAGAGCAGATAATCAAGGCCACGGATTACTTCACTCATTTATTCATTTGTTCAACAAATGCACACTGAATGCCTAATATGAGTCAGATAACACCATGTACCAGGGATACAGTGATGAACAGGCTAGAACAAAAGGGCAAGGCCCTTATCTGACTTGTTCTTGGATGTCTATGTACAGTGTGCCCAGGACAGAGCTCAGCACCCGGCAGGAGTTCAGCAAAACTAAGTCAACAAAAACATACACCTGGTCATTGTGCCAGTGACAGGTACTGACAGAGATGCACAGAGCAATGTGAAGGTCAGAAAGGGATGAGGAGAGCGACAACTTCATCCAGTGGTTAGGCATTTGAGTATATACTCTCTATCTCTGATTATTTTATTTACTTATATATTTTTAAGATCTGTATCTTTCTAATGTATTATTCAATCTATTCCAATTTACTACTTTTATTTTAAGCTGTATCCGGGCTAGAGTTATCCTATCTATAGTCTGCAATTTAGTTGATATTTTTAATTTCTACATGTTCTTTACATATCTATCTGTCTCCATTACATACGATTTTGTTTCCATGTTTTGTTCTTTTAAAATAGAAGCTATTCCTTTATTTATTTCTTGATCATCTGAATATGTTTCAGTTCTCGGTCAGGCCATGCTACAAAATTCATTGAATCGGAAGTGCATTCATGTTCCAGCTGGTGAAGGCGTACTTGTGAGGGGCTCTCACCAGGTCTTGACCTTTAGGGCTCCTGCTCCAAGGTGACCTGTGAATGCTGCAGACAGAGCCACGGAGTCAGAGGCGGGTTGGCTCCATCCTTCATGTGCACTGCATCTGTGTCCTCTCCCTACCTAGGTCCACATCTTTCTAAGTCTCAGCTCCTGGTGTCCTTCCCATCAGGCACCTGGGCCCCACTCCAAGGGTCCAGGCTGCATTCTACGGTGCCACTCTGTTTCTGATCTATGGAGGATTACTTCATTCATTCATTCATTCATTCATTCAACAAATACACACTGAATGCCTAATCTGAGCCAGATAACACTTTGCTCTTGAGCCAGACTATGACTTTTTAGCTTTTGCTTTTTATATCTGTCTCACAGGTCACCTTGGAGCAGGAGCCCTAAAGGTCAAGACCCGGTGAAAGTCCCCTCACAAGTACGTCTTCATCAACTGGAACATGAATGCACTTCCGAGTCAATGAATTTTGTAGCATGGCCTGACAAAGAACTGAAACATATTCAGATGATCAAGAAATAAATAAAGGAATAGCTTCTATTTTAAAAGAACAAAACATGGAAACAAAATCGTATGTAATGGAGACAGATATGTAAAGGGTCAAAGGTGAGGGAAAGATGAACCCCTGGAAATGCCACGGAATGCTCTAACTTGTTTTCTATTACTACTACCTTCTTTGTATAATGACCTAAAAATTAAGTCAAAAATATTTTCTAAACACAATACAGGTGCTCAGTAACTTTGTACAGAATGAACAAAAATTTAAACTAAGTGCTCTAAAAGTTTTTTTTGTTTTATTAATCTTCACCCAAGGATACTTTTCCATTGATCTTTAGAGAGAGTGGAAGGGAGGGGGAGAGACAGAGAGAGAGAGAGAAACATTGATGTGAGAGAGACACGTGCGTAACGACCAGGGCCAGGGATCAATCCTGCAACCAAGGTACGTGCCCTTGATCAGAATCGGACCCAAGACCCTTCAATTGTCGGGCTGACACCCTATCCACTGTCCACTGAGCCAAATCTGCTAGGGCTACTCTAAAAGTTTTAAGAGATATTGAATAGAAGCAAAAGAAGCCAATTTAAAGGCCTCGATGCCTAAATGAACTATATTTTAAAATTAATTTTTGCTAATTATCTGTCAAGGAATTCCATTCCTTTCTCTTGCCAACATGCCTGTTTCTTTTCCTAGTCTTTTCCACATCCAATCTTGTCCCCATACGGCTTTCAGTCTACTTGAATGGAAATGTCTACCTTTTCTTCTTTAAATTGCTTCTCTACAGTTTCAGAAATAACTGCACTTTCACAGCCAGCTAAGGCCAGCTAGATTGTACTTCATGAATTAAGCAGTGAAGCAGCCTGAACAACTGGGACAAGCTGGCACAGCAGCATGAGCTGGGAAGCCAATTCTGTCCTCTGATCCAGGCAGCCCAAGCCCACTCACATGCGTTCCCCTCACCTGGTCACAGGAATGCACTGACAGGGCCAGGGAGTAGAGCTGTCAGGGTTGGGATGAGGGGGAGGTAAAGAAAAATCCATAGAGGTTCAAAGAGGCCATCATTTTTTTCTTCTAGAAAGTGGAGAAAGAGTTCTCTTTAGCAGTTATTGTGCAATTAATTTTTTTTGTTAATTCTCACCCGAGGATATTGACAGCTTGGCTTTATCTGGGGGGGGGGGGGAGAAGGGGGGGGGGGGGGAGAGAGAGAGAGAGAGAGAGAGAGAGAGAGAGAGAGAGAGAGATATGAGAGAAACACAGCTACTGGTTGCATCTTGCATGTGCCCCAATTGGGGCTGACCAGGGCAGAATCAAACTTGCAACCCAGGTACATATCCTTGACTGGGAATCAACCCTCCACCCCTCCGTGCGTGGGCTGACACTTGGAACCACTGAGCATGATCCCATGCACCCTGACCAGGTCACATGTCCGGTTGCAGGCTCCACCCCCAGTATCGGGCGTGAAGGAGGCAGCTAATTGATGGTCCTCTCTCTTCAATGTTTCTCTCTCTTCCTCCCCTCTCTCTAAAATCAATAAAAACGTATTAAAAATGTTTTTTATCTTAAAAACCCCAAAAGTTTAGAAAATGGTCTTCAAATTTTAAGGGCACAAATCAACTTCATATTATGACAATTCAATATAATTTAAAAATTTTGTTTAATAGTAATTTCTGCATTCAGCATCAACATAGAACCTGGATTTACTCTGTTAGGCGCAGTTGGGAAAAATATAAAAGGATTTTCCTTTATAAAATTTATGCACTCACAAAACCTAGAGTAAGTCAAACCATACTGCCATCTGTACACTGAAATTTCAGTGGCTTTCACTTCTCATTAATGTTCAAGTTGTAGAAACTAACGGTAGTTTTATTTGTTTCTTAGTGTTTCTTTCGAGTTTTATATTAACACTTAGGGGATCTACTTGTATAAATTCTACCTAAGGTGATCCTACCAATGATTCTATAGTAAAAAGCCAAGAAATATTCCTCTATTTACGTTGTTATTTATTTTTATTTAAATAAAAAATATTTTTTATTGATTTCAGAAAGCAAGGGAGAGAGAGAGAGAGAAACATCAATGATGAGAGAGAATCATTGATCAGCTGCCTCCTACAGGCCTCACACTGGGGATGGAATCTGCAATCTGGGCATGTGCTCTGACTGGGAATTGAACCCTGACCTCCTGGTTCAAAGGTCGACACTCAACCACTAAGCCACACTAGGCTGGGCTATTTACCAGTTTTTAAAATTGAGCCTTAGGCCTGGCCTTGGTGTCTCCATGGTTGAGCATCGACCTTTGAACCACAAGGTCACGGTTCAATTCCCAGTCAGGGCCAGGAGGCAGATAATCAATGATTCTCATTACTGATGTTTCTCCCTCTCTCCCTCTCCTTCCCTCTCTGAAATCAGTAAAAATGTATTTAAAAATGTAAATAAAATTGGGATTTAGCAGTTTTCTTAGGAGGAGGCTCTTCTTTAGTACGAAAGAGAATTTCAGTTCTTAAAAGTCATAGTGCTGAAAAAGACAGATTCCTCAGTGGCAAAGGCCCTCCATGGCAAGGTTCGCTATAACCATTTTACTTTTTCATCATTTTCCACAGTCCAACTTCCATCTCCCAGCTCTCTCTCACATGCTGCCACTAGCAATTGGGCTGTTATTTTTATCTCTCATGTGACTCTTGCATGTAGGTTGGGGTAGGTGTCAGGGTCACATCTGACAGATTTCTGGCCCAGACATTGGGGATAAGATTTGGTTCAGGGTACATGTAAGGTGGTCCAGCCAAGGTGCTGGTATGAACCTGTCTTTCTCAAATTCATTTGAAGCAGTTATAATGTCAATCTGTATGTCACAAGTTCCTACTCCAGAGGAGACTATTTAAAAGTCCTTCTTGCCCTAACCGGTTTGGCTCAGTGGATAGAGCGTCAGTCTGCGGACTCAAGGGTCGTCCCAGGCTCGATTCCGGTCAAGGGCATGTACCTTGGTTGCGGGCACATACCCAGTAGGGAGTGTGCAGGAGGCAGCTGATCGATGTTTCTAACTCTCTATCCCTCTCCCTTCCTCTCTGTAAAAATCAATAAATATATTTTTTTAAAAAAAGAAAGTAAAAGTCCTTCTTAGCAGGAAGACATCTAAAAAGCCCTGGCCAGTGTAGCTCAGTGAATAGAGCGCCAACCCATGCACGGAAGAGTCCCAGGTTCAATCCTGGCCCAGGTCAGGGCACGTGCAGGAGGCAATCAATCAATGTGTCTCTCTCACATTGATGTCCCTGTCTGACTCTCTCCCCCTCCCTTCCACTCTCTTTAAAAAATCAATCAATGGAAAAAATATCCTCAGGTGAGGATTAGCAACAACAATAAAAAAGAAATCCAAATAAATTATCTATTGGCCTTTATTATTCAACCATACGCAGGTGAACTTTAAAATACTAATTCTAGCACTTTCGGTCTAGTCAACAAACATAATCTGAGCAAGTGCCTAGTTTTTAAAAAGAAAAAAATCTCAGCCCTGGCCAGTTGGCTCAGCTGGTTGGAGCATCCTGTACCCAGAAGGTTGTCGGCTCAATCCCTGTTGGGGTACGTAT